TCCCAAAAACAAGCAAAAAACACATTCTAGACACTGATTAATCGGTTAACCATTTGCATGTGCAAATGTGTTAATCGATTAACACTGTTAAGACAACAAAAAAATTTGAAAAAAATTCAGCATTCATGATCTAACCATTTCTTCAAACATCTCATGATCATGAATAAGAATTAGCACGAAAATTCAGGTAAAACAACAACAAATAACACCAATAAAACAAAATTTGCAAGATCAAAAGATCAAGCAACAAGAATCAATAATAGATCATATTGTGGAAGATGGATCAAGAACAATAATGGTGGAATGAGAGTTTACCACTTTAAATCTGAAATTGCTTCAAACCAAATTTAAAAATCACACTCCAAAGTCTTGATCTACTGAATTTGATGATGAAAAAGTGATTGGATGAAGGTTTTAGCTCAAAGATTAGTAAGTTCCAATGAAGAACTTACTAATCTTTCAAAAGAAGAAAGAGCTTTGGTGAATTTTGTGGTTGAAGGAAATTGAGAGAAATTTTAGCAAGGTGATTTTGGCTATCAAAGCTTGAAGAAAGAATGAAATGAAGCCTCTATTTATAGAATTTAGGCTTGAAAATTTTGGTGGTTTGGAACCAAATTTTAGACTTAGAATTTGAATTTGGAGGCAAAATCAAGATCAAGTGGTGATTAATGAAAGTGTATGGTGGGAACCAATTGTGATGAGGTAGGGGAATTAAAATGAAGTGATCTAGAATATTCTCATGATGAAATATCTGAAAATTGGTGTCAAAATACTGCAGAATTTGAATTTGGCTCATTTTCACAAAAAAACACACTAGTTAATCGATTAACCATTTGCGTGTATAAATGTGTTAATCAATTAACACAGTGAAAAAGTGTGAAAATGGCCATTTTTATGTGATGTCTTCGCTCTGGCTTGATTTTCTAATTTGTCAAAGAAGACATGAAAATAAACACATGAACCTTAGAACTTATTGAGTAATATTTAATAAAATCTTAGGAAACCCTTGATCAAATGATTTTGAATTGTTTGCAGATCGACTTTGACTTCTTCAGTTGAATTTATTCAAGCTGAAAGGTTGTTGATTGATGTCCTTGATTCCAACCTCTTCCTGAAAAAGTTAGTAAAGGGAAAACAAGCATATTTTTGGTATTTTGGTTAAAGGTCAGTAAACATAAACATACAAATAAAAGCAAACAAGAAACACGCAGATGCTCAGTGATCCTTGCAAGGCATAAACCCGAAGATGAGAGGGATAGATGAACCAAAATACGATCTTTTTTGTAGTGCAAAGATGCAAATGAGATGTGGGAAATCTTAGGGGTAAAAATTAGGGTATTACACCTACTCATTTCATTGATAATGAAGTATTAAACAAACCCAAATATTTTTGAACCACAAAAGAAAAAAGAAAAATGCAAGTTGAGTTTCAAGCTAAGTACTTGATGACAAGTGCGCTAAGCATTCTTCTTCTTCTTCTTCTTCTCATTGGATCATGGGCCATGTGGATATTCGTTGGTTTTAACCCATTTATCACGACACGTTCCTTCTCTCTCCTTTTGATTCAACTCCAGACAGTATAATTTCTAGCCTGTCGGGGATAACACATCTTGTGGCAGGCCTCCTGCACAGCCAGACACAACGTGTACTATTCTCCATAATACAGTTTTTGCAAACTTTGTCTCGTAGTGCTTGATCTTATCCATTCTCATTTTTAAATTCTTTGTAGTCTAATTCTCTGATTGTTGCCATGTGTGTCCTAATGACACAAACATTCACTCATTATAATCTTCTTTGCAATTGACACTTCATTGAAAGTTGAGGTTGAAGTGATGCTCTAGTTCTGTCGTGGCAGAACATATAAAAAATTAACCCTACACATGTGACAAACGCATAAAAACTCATAAAAGAAAGCGTATATTGTGCTCTTCACAAACTTTCTTAAAACAACAAAATAAACTTAAATTAACCTAACAAACTTGCTTAATTACAAAATAAAATCAAGTATTAAGAGGTAGAATACCTCACACGTAGTGAGTTATCAGTTACGCAAAAACAAGGGCTAGGGAGACAACCATTCTAGGCCAACCAAATTGATTCCCGACTGACCATTCTAAAGGAGCTACAATCCATCCAGAACCTTCTCACCACACGAGATATGCTATGCAGATAAGTATAAAGGATTCAAACTCCAGATACATCCAACGATTATCCGCAATTCAAATACTCGATTTCATATTTAATTTTAATTCACTCATTTCTCACATACTGACTCAAGCATTGAAGTATTAACCTTGCATATTAATCCTCTCTTCACCGTATCAAAAGCTCTAATACATTGTTATCATATTTCCTTACTCCATTTCTGGTTTAGTACATTAAATTTGTAGAAAAGTTAAAAGGTTGTTGCTTAAGAATATAATAGTATAAGTGAATACTTTTGTCCAAAAAAATTTGTAGATACACTAAGTAATTTAATAATTATCTTGACGAATATTTCTTTATTCTAGAGATGGGTTGACTGTGTATTTATTTTTAATTTAAGTAATATTTCTTTGACTTTATTTATAATAAAATTTTTTAAGGTTATATTGAATAATCAATGTATATGAATTGTATAATAAATTAAATATATTAATTATTTAATAAATATTAAAAATCAATTTTTTATTATTATAAATAGGATCAAAAAGGATATTTTATTATTTTTGATTAATTTCTTTTAGTAATATTGAGATTTGAATATTCTAAAATACTTAGTATAAAGTAAGAAAATAAAAAATTATCTTAAGAAGATTTGTGCACTATGTAGTGGGATATCAATTCTCAAGCACTCTTTAGACTTTGATTTATAATTTAAAAATTGGATGACTTAGATATCAGCAATGTTATTTATATATCAATTTCTTACACCAATACTTATATAATACATAGTGTTTATCGTATTTATACGGTGAATAGTATATATTTTTAATAAAATAATATATTTATGTACAACGTTATGAACAGTACTGTGAACAATACTATGAACAGTGCGTGAATAGTGACTCGTAAACAGTGTCTCTAAATAGTTCTTTAAATTATGAAACAAAGTTGGAAAAATAATAATCATAAAAAAAGAAATAAAAATAATTTTTCTTCAAGTCATTTAGACTATTTGTTATAAATTAAAAGAAATAAAATTTAAGACATACAGTTAAAAAAACAAATTAATTACTCTCTACCTCTATTTTTTTTAAATATACTTTTTAAATTTATTAAATAATAAATATATCTATTGTCCATTGTTTATTTATCTTTACTAACAAATAATTTTTTTTACAAATAGACTTAGAGAAAATGATAAAAAACTATCAATCTATCATTTATATATAAACAACTATTTTATTATTAAAATAAATGCATCTTAAAAATACAAAAAAAAACTAAAACCCAAATTTTAAAAATCTATTTATGATACACTTTTGTAGACCACCCACCAATACATCTAAACCATTAAACTTTTAAATGATAAATCTATGGTTAAAAATGTATTTATATGAGTACAAAAATTTAACCTTTACTGGTATAAAGCGCCCAATGGCATCAAAAGATAAAAAGTGTAATAGATTAAATATATTAATTATTTAATAAATATTAAAAATTAACTTTTTTTATAAATAGGATCATGAAGCATATTTTATTATTTTTTATTAATTTATTTTAATAATATTGAGATTTGTGCACTATGTAGTGGGATATCAATTCTCAAGCACTTTTTAGACTTTGATTTATAATTTAAAAATTGGATTGCTTAGATATACTGTTGGCAACTTAATATACATGTACTTTGATTTTGATTTTGTGGTTTATAAAACATATTTTTATAAAATTTGACCTTTTAAAATACATTTATTTATTTGTTAATAAAATATATATTTAAATTTAAAAATGGTTTTTTTTATCATCTTTAACCTCTTTATTTTCATTTAAGTTGAATTTTTTATTTATTTTATGAAACTTTATTTTTATTTTTATGAATTTTATTACGGGTTTTCTCTTTTTGTTGGAATTAAGTATACACATAAAATCATAATTTTTTAGATTAAACTTTTGATGGAATTTTTATATGTATTTGTGTGAATCAGACATAAACTATAGTTATACGCTATTATTAAACAAAATCTTAATAAACTTATCATCAAATAAAAAAAACTATTAACATATTTTTTTTAAAAACAACTTGATTTGAAAAGAAAAAAATAATTGTACAAAAAAGAAATAAAAATAGAATTTTTTCAAGTCAATTTAAACTATTTGTTACAAATAAAAAGAAATAAAATTTAACGCATCCAATTACAAAAAAAAATTCATTACTCTCCATCTTTATTTATAAAATAAATATTTTTTTTAAATTTATCAAGCAATTAATATATTTGATTTATATATTGTCCATATACATTATCCAAATACATTGTTTACTTATTTACCGTAATTAACAAATAATATTTTTAATAAATATAATTAGAGAGAATAATAAAAACTATAAATTTATTATTTAATATAAACATATATTTTATTATTAAATAAATGTATCTAAAAAATAAATTAATTAATTAAAACCCGATAAATAAAATTTAAATCTATTTATGATAAACTTTTTTGTAGACCACCAATACATCTAAACCATTAAATTTTTAAACCATAAATGTATGGTTAAAAATGTACTTATATGAGTACAAAAAATTTAACCTTTACTGGTATAAAGTGCCCAATGACATCAAAAAGATAAAAAGTATACACTTTTTCTATTTAAAAATAAAATAAAAAAGTAGGCCTACAACAATTTTTTAACTAATATTTTCTATTTTGTAAACTCAATGTTATAATTTCCCTCTCTATAAATACACGCTTTTATTTTACTTTTGCATTCACTCTACCACAACAAAAACGAGTGTTTCAATTTTCAACAACCTTTTCACTTTCAACATTCTCTCCGCCACAGCGTGTTTAATCTTTGTATGGAAGTGTCCTGTCTCACATATGAGTTATCTGAACTCTGTCTCGGTAAGCCGCCGCTGAAGTCGATTTCGACATCGGCTACTGTCGCCGAGGCCATTGAACTACTCAGAAGCTCAGGCGAGAGTTTCGTCAGTGTTTGGGACCGTGATTACTCCGAATGTGTGGGGAAGGTGTGTATGGTTGATGTGATTTGTTACCTTTGCAGAGAGGAAAGTCTTGTCTGTCCTGATTCTGCTCTTAATGCTTCAATTTCTAACCTTTTGAATAAGGTTGATGGTCTTGTTGTGCATCTAGAATCTTCTTCTAGGTACTTTTCATTTTTTTATTACTTTATTTTTATTACTTTATTTGCAATATTTTTCTCTCTCTTCCTCTTATTTAGTTTAATGTTATTATTATTTTTGTTATTATTTAGAGTTTTTTTTGGATCTAGATTTATCTATGTGTGATGCTGACCATTTTCTTTAAGGAGTTTAATCTTTAGGAATAGAGACATAAGTGTTAGAAATTTCTAGTTGAAACTTGAAAATGTCTATGAATTAATTAACTAATTATACTTATGTAATTTCTTGTTTAAGCTTAAAATTCTGTTTTAATGTGTGTTTTTATCGTAGGATTTGTTAAGAGTCTTAAATCGGATATATAGTCTACTATGGTTTTCACTATTTCCATTCGAGACACCCACAATTTATTGCTGGGAAGTCCAGGTCGTGAGAGACTATGTTAAAAATTTTACATCTGAGAATATATGACTTGAATATGTGTTTATAAGTGGAAATAATCCTCGTCAAGACCAATTTTATTAGAGTTGACTTAAGTCTAACCACATTTCTTAACATGTTTTTGGTTAATTAATCTTTTTTTTTTGTTAATTTGATGTTTCAAGCTTATCGGAAGCAATTGATCTGATACTTGAGGGAGCACAAAACCTTGTGGTGCCAATTGTGCAAACAAGAAGAGGTGGCATTTCAAGGAGAAAACAGCATCAGAAGTTATCAACAATCAGCGGCCACAACGGGGTTGAGTTCTGTTGGTTAACACAGGAGGATGTAATCAGGTTCTTGCTTGGTTCCATTGGCCTCTTTGCTCCACTCTCTGCACAATCCATTTCTGATCTTGATATCATCAGCTCTGATGTGGTTGCTATTGATTACTATTCCCCCGCGTCTTCCGTTGTTGAAGCCATCGCGAAGTCCCTTGCACAACAAACTTCTGTTGCTGTTGTCGATGGTGATGGGACATTCATTGGGGAGATATCGCCCTTCACGCTTGCTTGCTGTGATGAGTCGGTTGCGGCTGCTGTCACAACTTTGTCTGCAGGGGACTTGATGTCCTACATTGACTATGGTGGCCCGCCCGAGGGTCTGGTTAGCGTTGTGAAGGCAAGGTTGAAGGAGAAGAATCTGGAGAAATTGCTGCAGAAGTTTACAATTTTGACTTCTCTGACCGGTGATGTGTCGGCCTCCTCCTCGTCTGATGAGGAGAGTCCGACAAGGAGTTTGAATAGGTCAGGAAAGTATGGAAGGTCGTCGAGTTACTCGGCGAGATTTGTGAGAAAGGCTGAGGCTATAGTGTGTCATCCAAAAAGCTCTTTGATTGCTGTGATGATTCAAGCAATTGCTCATAGAGTAAACTACTTGTGGGTTATTGATGATGATTGCAGCTTAATTGGCATTGTTACTTTCTCTAATATCTTGAAGGTGTTCAGAGAACATACAGAAATTATGTGACAAGGTTTTTGCTTCGAATGTTCATAGGGAACCATAAACTTTGGTCCGTGCAGTGTGGTTAATGGGACCTGATCTTTGTTTTGCTTTATTTGACTGTGATTCAATTTAATAAATTTCCCTTTGATGCAAATCTTTGAAAAGAATTAATGTTTTTTGTTTTCCTATGTTTTGTTTTCCTTCCCTTTGACTAAGTGATTATGATTCAAACTTTTACGGCTATTGATGGGAAGGTTCATTGGTTTTAACGTGTAAGTGTCACAATACAATGAAGAAAGCTGCTTCATTTTTTGTTGTTGCTTTGATTGCAACTAATTAAGCAAGTTGTACGAGTTGTTGTTTTTTTCTTGACTGAAACTTAGTATTTAGATAAATAGTTGGATATCCGTCTGGTTTCCACGGTTTCGGTGACGCGTATTTGTTTACATTTAAAATTAAAAAAAAATTAATAAAAATTAATAAATATAAAAAGTATAATTTATATTTAAGAAAAGGATAGAATCAATACTTTAGTGATATCATTAATATTTTTTATAAAAATATTTATACAAGAATTTGATTTTAAAAAAAATCAAATAATAACATAGTATAAATATTAGTAACATAAATAAATACATTTTATCCGTTGGATTCATACATTATTTTAAATATATTTAGGTTTATTATAATTATTTTTGTGGTAATTTAGTTATCAATGACTTAATTATTCTGTTTCAGTAATTCAATTATTACCGTAGATTATATTTTCTCTTACGATCTTCTAATTTATGTAAGTATTATTAAAAAAATATATTTTGTGGGACATCCATAAAAATCATAATTAAGTAACAAAATTTTAAATAATTAACAATTTTTGAAAATAAATTTGAAATTTTAAGTATTAAATATTTGACTCATTTCTAAAATAAAATGTTAAATTTATCAATATTTTTCATAAATATTTAATACATAATAAAATGTATTTTATGATAGTTATAAAATGGATATGAACAATACCTTTTAAAAATATTTTTATTAAGAATTAAATTTTTTATTTATTTATAAACAATTAAATTTACTATTTAATATTTTTAATGATTAAGATAATTATTTAATTTGTTTTAAATTAAAAATTAGAAATGTACAAGACATTAATTTTTACCCAATTCAATGAACATGTCAAATTATTTGAATTTTTTTATAAATTACTTAGATGATCTATACAAAATAAAATTTATTTTATATAATTGTATTAAAATATTAAAATTAGTATATTAAATTAAATAATAATTAAAGTAGCTATTTCTTTCTTAAAATAAATAAATCAACCATATAATTAATTTTGTTAAATATATTTATATTTAAATTTAATTTTATAAGTAGTTAAGTTCAAAAATTATATACTTAAATTATTGTTTTATAGGTTAATGATAGTTTTGCCATTTAAAAATAAATATAATTTTTTCTTCTAACTTTTTATCAACCAACAAAGAGAGAAGAAAGCACAATTCTGTGAGGGCAAAGCCTCAGATATTAGATATGTGTGTTTCGATAATGTCAAAACCTAGCCGCATGGAAGAATAGATATTTGACGTTATCACCATGATGCATAAGCATACCTTATTTCTCATGTTTATTTGCTTGCACTAAAATATCTCGAGTACTGCATTTAGAATTGTCAAAATATGCGTCATAGGAGTTAAACTCAATTGGTCTATCATAGGTTTCATCTAAGAGAATCAAAAATATGAATTTAGGCATTTTTGAAGTTTCAGGTCTTTGAGTCGACCTAAACTCTGCTCCGGTCGACTTATGGCAAGTGTCCTAGAAATGCATTTTCTCAGGTTAGGTATGGTCGACCTACCAGTCGACGGATACTGTTGTCATTTGCATTTGTCTAAAAATGCAGGCTTTGCGTCGACGCATGCCTTGTTCCGGTCGACGCATAGCTGTGTGTTTTGCACAATATGTTGCCTCGGGTTAGCTCAGGTCGACCCTGCACTCTACATGGGTCGACCGCTCGCCGTTTGCTGCATATTTTTTTATTTGTCTATTATTTTTGAAAGTTGGTTTTATCAGTTATAACAGTTTTGTCTGGTATAAATATTCAGTTGCTTTATTCATTTCATATCAATTGAATCAATTACAAAAACAAGAAAAGTGAAAAAGGTGTCAATTCAAGTTCTCACCATCTCCATCTTCTACATTTCATACCACAACAATCACACACAATAATCTTTGTTGTGCATTATGGATTGTCTAAGGTGATAACGTTCGAAGCCGTTGATTGTGTAATCCGGTTCGGGTTGAGGAATTGACAGGTTTTTCTTGAATAAACCTCTAGGGTTTTGTCCTCCAAGATTCTCTGAATTTGGGGGTTTTTGGACGAGTCTTCTCAACGCATATTCGGCCGAGTGAAGGTAATCGAGGAGCGGTGGGTTCCGTCGGTCTAGTAGCGGTAATCGGAGAATTGTGAAGGAGAAGTTCGGGTTCGACACACGAGTGTTTGAGATCAGCCGGGCTGGAGTTTGAAGACGGGAGGTTATTCAAACATAGAGTTGTAATCGGAGGTTCACTCACAAGCTGTCAAAGGACTTGATTCGACTCGAATCAAGGGATAAGAGGAGATAGCATCCACAACAACGAGGGAGTTTGTTTGTTTGATATCTATTTCATTCTTGTATATACGATTCTACAACAGGTTAAATTTATATTATAAGAGCTCAATTATATTGTTATAGTTGAGGGCACACGTACTCCGAAGCAAGGACGACGGGGAAACTGCCTCAACAAATCCCTGTGCCTTTTACCTTTCGTTTTTACATTGCTTAATATTTGTGTGGTTTTAGTACAAGCAATTATATCAAATTTAGGACTATTTTGAGTAAGTGCTAAACTAATTTCGACTCTAGTACAATCCTTGATTGTACAAGCAAACTAGAGCAAATTACCTAAAGCGGAACTCACTTGTAGTGCTCTGCACTCCAAGTGTTTGATAAATTGTCTGAACGAAAAGCCTTGTGTGCTGTCCATTTATTGTGATAATATTTTAAGGCATTGGAACTAGTCATACCACATTGTGAGCTAAATCAAATTGAGAGTGTGACTAGTGTAGTGATTCTCATTACTCGTTATCCGATTTCATCGGCTAAAACGCATGTCCAGTTTTCTAGTAACCGTTCGTTATAGATGGTATTTTTCCACGGCCGCTTCCGCAAATTAAACAAAATTTTTAAAACCATTTTATTGGTAGCGCCGACTTATTTTTAACAAAGGATCTATTCAACCCCCTTCTAGATTTGTGCCATCGTCTAACAAATTCAACCACTTTTGTGTTTGAGACATGCCTACATCATATTAAAATACATTGTTATACACCACTTTTGCTATTGAGATATCTACATCACTTTCATGACATATTCACTTAGTGTTTATCATTCTTCTGTACACCAGCTGCCATAGAGATCTTGTCAATCACCTATAAATTATCATAATTTTCTATTTCAATCTTGAATTTGTTGTATATATGAAACAAAATAATGGAGGAGAAAACATATTTACTCACCAATAAAACATATCAAAAACAAGAAACAATATTTTAATATTGACATCAACACCAAATCAGATCATAAATGTGTACACCAAATCATATCATTTATGAGCAAAAATATTAATCATGTAATAAAAAAAATAATAAGACACAATTATGATAATATACGTAATAATTAAAAATACTATATTACAATGAGAATATGGTGAATACAAATAATATTGAGTTTAAATAATTAATTTTAGTGATTACACATACATACACACACACACACACACACACACATATATATATATATATATATATATATATATATATATATATATATATATATATATATATATATATATATATATATATATATATATATATATATATATATATATATATATATATATATATATATATATAAAATTTATTTGTCATTCATTTATAACATTTTAACTTAGTTGTTTAGTGACGAATAAATATGAAATTTGGTGATGGACAAAAAACATATTGAATATATTTACATCTAATATAACATAATTCAATATGAAAATGGTAAATATAAATAAATTTTAGATTGATTATTTAATTTTTATTATTACCTATATTATTTAAAATATATTTAATTAATTATAGTCTTTTAACTATATTTTTTAATAGTGAAAAAACCTAAAATTTTGTGATGGAGAAGAAGAATAAAATATTATTATTTTTTTAAATCTATTCTAGTCTATTATGTTTGTTGTTTAGCGATAAAAAATCATAAAACTTTGTGACGTTGAAGAAAAATATTAAATATTTTTAGATTTAATATACCATAAGTCAATGTGAATACGATGAATATAAATAATAATGAGCTTGATTATTTAATTTTAATTATGCCGCATATATATAAATTATGGGTCATTCATTTATAGTCTTTTAACTTAGTTTCTTATACGTGAAGAAACCTAAATTTTGGTGATGGAGAAAAATAAAAATATAAAAAAAAATTGTATCTATTATACCATAATACAATGTGATTATGGTGAATACAAATAATATTAAATTTAATTATTTAATTTTAGTTATTACCCATATATATATATATATATATATATATATATATATATATATATATATATATATATATATATATATATATATATATATATATATATATATATATATATATATATATATATATATATATATATATATATATATATATATATATATATATATATATATATATATATATATATATATATATATATATATATATATATATATATATATATATATATATATATATATATATATATATATATATATATATATATATATATATATATATATATATATATATATATATAATTTACCGGTCATTATTTATAGAGTTTTAACTTTGTTTCTTAATGATTGAGAAACCTAAAATATGGTAATGGAGAAGAAAAATATTAAATTTTTTAACATTTAATATACCATAATTCAATGTGAATGTGGT